CATCTGGTGAAAATTTCATGTCATTAGCACCTCTAGTAATATATTTACTGAGAAAAATGGTGACGTGTTCAATACTTATTTTACCTGCTGTATATTATTACCAAATTTCATTCTGCTAGGTGCAGCCATTTCTGTGCTATAGTTTAAAAATATCTGAAAAAAAGAAAAACTAAATAAATAATATGAAAACAATATGACCGCCGCTTCGCATAATAATGTTTAAATATTACAAATAATGGTGGATCTCTTTAAAAAAAGATGTGCACAATCTCCTGAGCTGTTTCACACACAGATAACAAACCAAACTTAGACTGAACAGAAACAGCAGCTCTGTATCTGATCATTTAGGAAACTGAAACTGAACCACAAAGCAGAGGTTTGACCCGTTTCACAGAAACACAGAGTCAGACTCTGAGGACAGTTGGACTCAGATAGACTCTGTAGCAGCTCTGACAGACACAGAGGGAGGGAGGAGTGTGTGGGGAATGCAGAGGCTCTAAAACTCGACTAGACAAGGAAAAGGCTTTATTGTTCCAGTGATGGCAGCAGAGTGCTGACCTCTGTCGATCAAACAACATCAGTCTGTTTCAGCCTGTCCTCCTGAGGCACACAGCTCCTTTTTCAGACTTATTTTGATGTTTTTTTTATGAAAACTGATCAGTCAGAAGAATCTGAGGAGAGAAAAGTGAGAGAGCAGGGAAAATGAAGAAAATAATTCGGGATAACAGGTATTGTTTTTGTTCCAGGGATTTAATTCTTTAATAAACTGTTTGATTTGTACGTTTCTTGTGCACAGGTCCAGCTCTGACGACGGGTCAGGAGGTAAGGTGAACGTCACTGAGGGACTACTTTGTCTTTGCTTTATTTGAAAAGTTCAAATCTTTACGTGTTGTTTGTAGAAGTTTATTATCTTTTAAATTATGCATTGTAAGCTGATGTATTTTGTAGGTAAATTTGATGGAAAAAGAAAAAGCAAGTCTTTCTGGCAAAGTTTCCGTAAGTCACAGAAAGGACTGATACGTCAAGTTTCCAAAGGTAAAAAAATACAAGAATTCTTGAAAACACCAATTCTGACAAAAGCTGGGATGTTGTGTCTAACAGAAATAAAAACAGAATCCTCTGATTTCCAAATCTCATAAGGTTACATTTTATTCAAAATGAAACATATCCAAAATCAAATGTTTTAACCAATTGTACCGTTGTTGACGAAGCTGAAGTTAGCTTCCGATTCCAGCTTCCGATTCGGGAAATGACTAAAGGGATATTACAACTAATTTTTCACTACCTTGCGTGTGTTTAACCTGCTCTAGCTCAAAAACTACAACACCTACACTCTTCAAATCTGGATTAGATTATTCTACACTAATAGAAGAATATTTAAAAACATGTTTGGGATTTGGGAAAGCTTTGTCTG